ATATCAGTAATTCTTTCATTCCTAGGAGAGTTTGAGATTGTGACCACAGGTTTTGCTATTGTGGATTTTCAAAGTCAACTGTTGATAACGAAGGGTGTGAGATTTGCTCAAATGATGTCATGAAAGCCATTAAGCAAAGTGTTGCTGGTGGAAAAATCAGTCCAGAGCTCAAACAATTTCTCCAGAATAAGATGTAGGTTATATAACCTTTCTTCCATTATGGTGCAGTATCTAAACTAAGTGTCACTTAATTTCCACCAACATAACATTGAACTTGATGGCACTATTATTTCTCCACATACATGTATGATCCAAAAAGAGACTTGGTAGTTTATTTCAATATTTAATACAGCCCAAGTTAATAACCAAAAAAAAAACCTGGAAAAATTTATATGTCAAGCCAAGTTTCTCCACATATGATTAAAACCAATGGAACTAATTAAACATATGCCTTTGCATCTGTTTGTTCAGTGCTGCAGGATGCCACTCACATTCCAGTATCCTTAAATGAAATTTAATGATGAGAACTTCACCACTTAACTGTCCGCCATCAGAGGAGGAAACTTCAAAGGATACCCTCCTTCACTGCAGTTAAGGTCGACCTTCAATAAAAAAATTTGCCATACATATTGTGCGGCTTTTCTTTTTACCACAGGAATTAGATGGACCAAATGTAATTATAGGGCTGGGAAGAAGCTTACCCTAGATCCAGTTAAATGGAAAAGATCAAACCGATTATATTCAAATTTTTCCATTGATGTTGACACAACAGGAACTGATGTGGATTGTTGTAAAGCCACTGACAGTTATCTCTGTAATGGAAGGATGGCTGAACAGGCATGCACTAATTAGTATACAATAAAACTGCTGTTTGTTTTGTTTCAAAACTTTTATAGTTAAATTCTTATTGACTTTGATTTTCTACTGTCAAATAAGCAAGGTTATAATGCGAATAAAATATTTGGGTTGTTGCCAGACTTGAAATTTTTGAGTGTTTTGAAACACCTTCAAATTATTGACAGATGCTGATATGATAATGAACCATAGTCTGTTGAAGCACTTTTGGTTTTCAGATGAATTTTTATCTTTGCCATGGCTAATTCCTATAACTTGACATTCTCTGCATACAATAAAATCATCATGAGTGATGTGAAATGAAACTGTTTACATTCTGATACATACACACTGATCAGAGCAGTGAATCAGAGGTTAACTTAAGTGTTTCCTTCTTTAAAAAGCTCTAACCACTAGAAAATGGTAACCTCAATTCTCAAGCCATTTTTTTTATTTTTAATACTCATGTAATGAAGTAGTAACTGATTATTTTTCTTTAATTCTTATTCTTACTTTATGATATCTTTAGAATAACATTTTCCTTAACTGATCTATTTTTTTAAACAATCTAAAATGATTTGATGATCGATAAAGAATATCCTTTTGATCAAATGCAACCTTATTTCACTTTTATAATTAACCTTTGTATTGCCAATGCTACACAACAAGTATAGAGTCAACAGATTTTCATTAACTTAGTTATACCCTGAAGCAAAAGCAAGAAATGTTTCCTTTTATGATCTCCTCAGGTAAAACACTTGTGCAAAGTGAATAAGGAAAACCAAAGGTAAAACTTTTAAGTTTTTCACTATGTTAATAAACTTTGGGGAGAGCAGAAAATGTTTTTCTATGCACTCACAGACACTTAAGAAATTGGTTGTTGGTTATTGTGCAAATATCATAGTATCCTAACAACAGTCTGATCACACAAGCATTGTGATGCCCTGTATATTTTATTACTTTAATCAAGATTCTCCTGTCAATTACAAAGCCAAGAGCAAACTTAAGTAAAGTCCAATTTTGGAAACCAGTCAGAACAAACTGCCCACAGTCCAACAAAAACTGTACAGTGGCATAGAACCAAAATAATATGTAATACTGCACATTTCAAATAACCCCTTATAGTTGAAAATACTTCACTTGATTGGCAAGCATTACATCAGCTATGGATAGCAATGAGGATCTTCACAACTGTATGAGGGTAATTCTATTAATATACTAATACAATCATGCATAGTCGTGGTCTCCATACATAAAAAAATGAGCAAGGAAGAGATATCTTCAAAATCACAATGTAGGGAAAATTTAACAAAAGAATTGTCATTACACGTTATGGTCCAGACTTAAAGATTACTGAATGAACAAAGGCATTTTTATCATTGTGTTTACATTGTAAGTGTTTATATTATTGGACTCCAACTTGAAAGCATTTTGTGTGAACAATGTGTACTTCTTTGACAGCTCCTATCGGAAAAAACTTCAAATTCCAATTATGGTTTTTGGTCCAAAATTCAATAAATTTACATGTGCCAAAGGATGCTTCTTAGGCACTGAAGATACCCCTCATGGGAGGTGGCAATTTTTCCAGCAGTTAGGCAGTCATGACACAGAAACATAGCTTAAATGACCTGAAATCATTTGAAGTCAAATTTTCCAAGCTTCTTTG